GTAGTTCGGGGGGGAGGTACCAATCATCCATACTTGCAGCAGAGCCGCTAGGCTGAATAGACCTTTCCTCTTTTGAGTGAAATTTTTATCTAGACAAGTCTGGACAAAAATTCCATCACAGCTTGAAAGAGCATCACAAAATTAGTAATATTCCCGAGTTTCGTTGCGAAATGTTGTAAAATGCGGATAATATAGCCTTGCGAAGTTTGCCGTTTTTCAGTCATTTGGTATTACAAACGGGAAATTGATAATCAGATGATCAAACTGATGCAAAATGTTAGATTGTAATGCAAAATGACTGAAAAACGGCAAACTTCGCAAGGCTATATTATCCGCATTTTACAACATTTCGCAACGAAACGTCGGAATATTACTAATTTTGTGATGCTCTTTCAAGCTGTGATGAAATTGTTGTCCAGGCATATCTAGATCAAAATTTCACTCATAAGGGGAAAGGTCTATTGCCGAAGACACAGCTCAACTTGAACAGTCAGATGAAGACGAAGGGTTACTATATAAGGGCGCCACTGGCAGCCAGCCACCTCATGACTAATCACAGAACACAGCTACGATAGAATGGTCAGAAAGGGGCTAATCCCAACACACCCTGTCATTGGCACAGTGTTTCAAGTACTATTTCAAAGCCATCTTCATGGAAATATGATACAATCTATTGATAGCAAAAACCCAATTGATTCAAGCTCAAGATATGAACATGTATATTCAAAGAATCCGGCTCTAATAGATGCTACTATCTTTCACTGCCTTTTTTTGTTCGTTCGTTTCTCCAATTTTCCCTTCTTCGTCTGTTTAATGATTCATAAACTTATAAAATCACAGCGCCATACCTCAAAACAATAACGCAAAACTTTAAAAATCTATAAGAATCTGTAAACTCTACACCTGAAGCGATGCAATAAATATTTTATGACTTTCAACATAATATTTCAAACTGATTTACGCCAGCCGTCACTCATATCTTCTTTATTAAAAATATCCTGTACTGAACATGCTTAGCGCAAGTCACGACACAACAATTTAATTAAAAAACTACAGTTTTATCAACTTTATCCTGATATTTGACAATCATAATGCATCACTGTCACTCAAATTTTTAAAATATTTCCTGAAGAAATTAAAAAGCCTTTTATATAAACTGTATGTTGTTAACGAAAAAAATCAGATTAAAAATTAAAAATGACAAAAAATCTTATCCTTTATAAGAAACGAGCTTGAGCCAATGGCGCAGGCTAGTGAAAGGCACGATCACAGATTTTACGTTCGTCAATTTTCATTTATAATTAACATGCGTCAGCTATAAGTCAATCATCGCTTCCTTATAGAGTTCCTGTAAATACCTTCGACAGCCAAAGCTTCCGCATTTCACAAGAGATTATAATCTATTATTCATTAGGGAGTATACCTATGGAGTATACAGCGAGAAAGCTATTTTGTGAAGATATTTAACTTCGCTTCAAGGTTAGTATATATTCTGTGGTATGTTCTAGGTTTATATTCACGCCTTTATAGAGGGCTTTGTAACAAAATTAGATAAATTCCAAATGGAACAGTACCACATTAGATTTGATATACAGTGTATTATATAGTTGTACAGTTGATGAATTTTTATTAACCTAAATACTAATTATTTTCAATGTACGTAAAAGCCAAAACTATACACATCAATTCGTAGTTTCAACCGCCATCAGAGCGAATTGAATTGACACTGGGTCGCACACATTTTGCAAGTAACAAACTAATTCGCAAGCACAGACCTCAATTACACGCTGGAGTATTTTCTCTAAATTGATCAGCCAGCCGAGATTGAATCAATAATAGTGAATCTTAGATGAAACACTGTATGTTATGGTCGTATAAAAACTCTAGAAAATCATACCTTCAATATTATCCATTATCAATGTGAGTTCTCTATATTCATGAAATGTTTCCTGCAAAATGTGAAGTATTTTGAGTTATGTAAAAAAATTCTTCACAATAGTCAATATTCTAAACTAACTTTATTTATATTGGAAGAACTGGAACACCTCTATCGGTTCTAAACTGTTCTCGCCAGAACTTCAGTAAAGACTATGGACCATATTTATATTGATCCAGTGTTACTAGAGGAAGAAACTGCAGTACCTAGACTAGAAAACCTGCGGTCAGTGTTTGGTGGAATAGAAGCATGATTACAAAGGTCAAAAGTTGACCACTGTGCCAGTTTCAACATAATCATTACACCCGTTTTCAAAGTAATGCGACCAAGGACGAAAATGCTAGAGTTGACATGTCAGTTTTATGTCATTCGGTCACGAAGTTGAAACTTTGAGTTTTGCGGTTCCTTGTCGATATATATGCTTTGTATGCTTTATATAAGCAGGCTTACAATGATTTTCAAGATATTTTAGTGAGAATTAATTACTGCAAAATTTAAGCAGGACAAAATCATAACATCACCGTTATAGTCTAGCGCACGTGTTTTATACTGACAGCTAAATTTGAGGCTGGATAAATTCTTATTTTTCAAACTTTAAAAGTCATTCACGGCACTTATTTCTGTTGTGATGGCTTGTATTGTGCTTTAGTTTGTATATCTAAGTTATCTAACTCATTTTTGTACAGTTTTGGTATTAAATACGGTTTAAAATGTCTTTTGACAGTTTGTTTACGTTTGCTATTTTTAGCAGTTCTTGTGACATAAAACTGACATTTGAAGTAAGAGTATTTTTCAGGGAAGTCGCGTAATTTTGAAAACGGGTGTAACACCATTTTCCAATTTTTATAGAACTAACAAACAGATCCGAAAAAACCCGGTAGGCCTCCATCCTCAGCGAAATGGAATCGAGCAACAGTTCAACGGAATACACAACATTCGAGCGAGTTCTTTCGCTAACAGTGGGCATTCTTCTACTGCTAGTATCTCTTGGGTCAGTTATTGCCAACACCTTGCTCTTATCTGCCATTTACTTCGACCCTTTGAAATGCTTTCGTAAAGTACCGATTGTATTTATCACAAATTTAGCCCTGGCAGATTTACTGACGGGACTCCTTGTCGACCCATTGTACGCTGTTTACGATTTTGGGATATTTCAAAAGAAACACTACGACACAACGCTTACAGTCGGCGACTATAACTCCTATATTACAGTAAACAACGCTATTGTCACAATAATTATACTCACTATCGACCGAAGTGTTGCTATCAAAAAACCGTTTCTTTATCGACGAGTAATGACGCTAAAAACAGCAGCAATAATTGTGGCCATTTCGTGGATGTATTCGGGATTTTTTAGCACATTTCGCCTGATGGGAATGTCTGACGAAGCTTATATCTTACTGGACACTCATTTGCACGTCACATTCGCGTTTCTTTCACTAACATGCTTATTTGGATTCATTTATTCAAATTTAAAAGCAGAGAAAGGACGGCAACTTAGAGAAGTCACTTCAATGAACAATATCGATAAGGCGACCAAGAAAAAACTACAAGAAATTAAAACAGACAAACGTCTTTTAGTGACAATCTTTCTGATTCTATTCATATTTTTCCTAACTTATTCGCCCTACGCTATTTTCATTCATTTGGAATTTTACTGCGTCACCTGTCGCGATAGCAAAGTTTACTACATCTTGAGTAAGACGTCTGAGCCCGTAGTGTATCTGAACAGCGTTCTCAACCCATTTATCTATGCGTGGCGACACAAGAACTTTCGTAAGGCATTACTGTGGGTCGTTAAGTGCCGTGGAAGGAGAAAGCAGCAGGCAAAAAGACGAGAGAATGGAACAAATCCTGACAACAATACGACTGAAGAATGAGACGTTGTCTAACTTACGTTGAACCTAAGTACATGTAAAAACGCACAAGTTGTTAAAAATCTGTTCACAAGCTGTCGACAAGTTGTGTTCGCATTGCTTGTTCCTAGTTGTTGTCACCTGTAAAGTTTCCAAACTTGTTCCCTGTAACAAGTTTGGAACAAGCTGTTAACAACTTGCAACAAGCTTGATGGCATTATCAGACTTGTTACAAGGTTGTTCTAACAAGTCTGATACAGTCATGATATAACAAGAATCAAAGAATGTTACAAGGTTGACGATACAAGGTTGTAACAATATTGTTATATCGTGACAGTATCGGACTTGTTGGAACAACCTTGCAACAAGTCTGATAATGTCAACAAGGTTGCTACAACTGTCAACAACTTAGGACAAGCAGTACGAATGCAACTTGTTAACGGCCTGAAAACATCAAGACTAAAAACATCGATCCTGAAAACACCGAGCCTGAAAACAACCGACCTTGAAAACAACCGACCCTGTGAAAACCACGAGTCTGAAAATGACCCCCAGACTTTCACAACCGACCCTGAAAACACCGACCCTGAAAACCCCCAGCCTGAAAACAACCGACCTTGAAACACCGGGTCTAAAACGATCGACCTTGAAAACACCAAGCCTGAAAACAACCGACCCTGAAAACACCGAGCCTGAAAACACCGACCCTGAAAACACCGAGCCTGAAAACCCCGACCCTGAAAACAACCGACACTGAAAACAACCGACACTGAAAACAACCGACACTGAAAACAACCGACACTGAAAACAACCGACACTGAAAACAACCGACACTGAAAACAACCGAGCCTGAAAACAACCGACACTGAAAACACCGAGCCTGAAAACATCAACCTTGAAAACACATTTCAGACTTGCTACAAGATGTGAGATTTTTGCATGTATAGTGACAATCAATAGATTAAGTGTAGATTTATACTAGAGATGGATAATGCGTCTGGGCGAACTTGGGCAAAGAAAAGATAGTTTCCCTTGTTGCTCGTGTGCACGGAATGTTGTTCAACATTTATCTCACGTCAAGGCCGTCTTTTGTTTGCCAAAACCACAGAAGTATTTTTTGTACACTTGTCACGTTTTCCTTGGGGGCCGTACACACGAACAAATTTTCCTTGTCCAAGACCTGGCATGCCTAGCTTTGGAAGGAGGTTCCTTGGCAAAGAAAAATTGTCACTACTTTTTGCCGTAGACATGAGCAAACAAAACTTATTACCGGTCTGTACTACGGGGTATAAACGCCGTGAACTAGAGCAAAAGATTGTAATGGAGAAACTACTTAATTAATGAAAACTAGCTCGTTTTCGTGCGAGTTATGTGATATAACTGGCGCTTCACATTGTGATTTAATTGCAATAACATTACGTCAGACCCAAGTGCAATTTACTCCCAAGATGGCCACCGGCCGTTAACAAATAACGACGATTATTTTTTATGTAAAACTTTCTGCCGGTTACACAAACGCAACATAAACATGTAGTCAAGGAAAAAATCTTAAATGGAGTTTCATTGACGCTTGCCAAATCAAGAAAGGTAAGGGAAGATACTATATAAGATATGATAAAGTTTCTCATTTTAAAAGTAAGGACTTTATAATTTCACTCGCTGCACTCGGCCGATTTTACACACACGCATCGATAACGTAAGCCTTGAAGCGTCAAAAATATGGCGTACAGATATAGACAGCTGTAATTAATAGCAACAGATTGCTAACAAAGTATTCCAAATTGTAGTTTATAATGGGGTTGGGTTAGATATACTGAAAACTCGATTATCGCTAATCCGGTTCTAAGATTATAATTTGACCCTGCCCACTGTTTTGCATGTATTTCTGAAAGTTTGTTCATGTTAAAAAAACTTGAGAAAAATATAAAATATTCTTATTAAGTCAATATACATACGCAACCGCTACAAAGTATCCGTTGAAATGTTTTATTAAACACATATTGTACAATTTTTGTACTGTGTACATTGTTTACTGAAGGTTGGTTTACACTGTCGACGGTTTCTGTTACTCGGCACAGTAGGAATTTTGCATAGGTAAATTCTGAGTTTTTAAGGATTTTTAAGAAATGTTTGAGGAAAATGACTACTAATTGTTAAACATTAAGTCAGTTCACTCAAACAGTCCTTACAAATCCTTCAAAACTTAGAATTTACCTAAGCAAAATTCCTACTGTGATCACAGAAACTTTGATAGTGTAAACTAAGCATAATAACTTGTAATTTGTAATGGGGCGAACAGTCAATCGTATTTTTGTTACTAAAATAAAATATTATTGAAGGCTTAATGATACTTAGCCAATATTTAGGGTTTCTTTTACTTTTATGAAATCGGTCGCTATATAGGCTTATAGCTACACTGTTGTGTCCCCCCAACACAATATTTCACGCTTTCTTGACTTTAATCAGTTTTATGACATTGATATATCTTGTCCAACAGGACACCGCACAACAAATTCCATGTGAAACTAATCATTATATCGAAAGGTTTACGGAGCGCAACCTTTAAAAAGCTGGAATCAAAATACTTTTACGGATGAACAGATTTAGGATAACATGCGAACTTGTTTAATTAAGGTGGAAATATACAATGCTTCACGATTTAGACCAGGCTTCACTGTAGTTGTTTAACTAGAGCAATGAAAAAAGTTGATCTAGTATTTAAAGAATATTGTCAATAAGGTTTTAAGTCAAGAAACTTCCTTAAGCTATGTATTTTCTTCTTTAAACTATTTTCATCCTCTTTTGCATTTCGACAAAGTTGGAATGGCAAAGAATATTGGTGTATCAGTAATCAATTTGGCGACGCTGACGATCGTATTATTTCCAATAATCATTGCAATTAAAGCATCTTCGCAGGTAAGTCGTAACATATAATTAATATATTGACATGGTTATATAGGCAAGCAGGCAAATTTCAAAGATATACATGGGAATTAAACGGGTTTATAACCCAGCACAAATTCTCTCTTTAAAACTCCTTAAAATGGCTCAATGATGGAACAGAAACATCCTCTATTGAAATACGGTTGAACAATGAATCAGTTCCTGCAAATATTTCTTACAAATCCTTCAAAACTTAGAATTTACCTATGCAAAATTCCAACTGTGATCACAGAAGCTTTAATAGTGTCAGCCAGCCTTTATATTAAATCGATCTTGTTTCTGTTATAGTCGTCAGGAGTTCATCAGTACATGAATAAAAGAGAGTTACTACGGTATTTTGGAACTGATAAATATGAAGACGGTACGTTTATTCAAAGTCATGACACCAGAAGAGATTTTTATTTGTAATCTGTTTACTATATCTTTTTACTCAGTGTGTCGCACACGTATCATTATTTAGTACCAGATTACGAGGTCGTCCACCCGAGAAAAGTTAACAAGAAGGGTGAATTTTTAAGCCACAAACGTTCGCACAACGACAGACTACGCGCACCAGAAATACATAAAGAAAAAGACTTACATTACAAGATTAAGGCATTTGGAGAAAATTTCAACCTTCATTTAAAAAAGAACCATAAACTATTTGCAAAAGACTTACATGTGGAAGTTCTAGGACATCGGGGTAAAATTCTTAGAAAAGAGAAAGTTAGAAATTGTTATTATCATGGACATTCTAAGAATCATCACAAGTCCAGGGCTACATTGAGCACTTGTGATAACTTGGTGAGTACACTCTACATCGTGAGCAAACCACATTGTTTCCTAGGCATGTTTTCCGAAGATAGTAAAGCAGGGAACATTGTTTCCTAGCCATGTTTCTCAAAGGTGGACAAACCAGGAAACATTGTTTCCTAGCCATGTTTCTCAAAGGTGGACAAACCAGGAAACATTGTTTCCTAGCCATGTTTCTCAAAGATGGACAAACCAGGAAACATTGTTTCCTAGCCATGTTTCTCAAAGATG